TAAGTGTTCTGTTTTGTGCAACAACGCTCATGTTAGGAGAACTTGGTATGGTACACTGTAGGATGATTCCACATTCTTCTTGAAATTTAGCAAAAGGCCCTGGATGTTGAGCTCCTGATCCATCATATCTGACGTAGTATTTACCACTACAGTCAGATCTAATGTGATTTATTCTTTTGTCGAGTTGGTTTTTGACTTCAGCCTTATAAGCCGTAAACATGTCCAGTGATTGAGATTTATCATGAATGAAATATAGGCAGCCATATTGAGAATAATTGTCTATGAATGTAAGAAATGACTGTTGACCATTCCAAGAAGTCAAAAGGCGATATGATCCTAGATGGGCGCCAACTTACCAAGAATTCGAAGAATGTTGAGAAGAAATCAAGTGCAAGAGTCGAGCTTAATTGGGCACCAATTGGGGATTTAAGAAATGGAAGAACCGAGCCAAGCATAGACTTTGAAGGAGCTAACAATGTTGGTCAATTACAAGTTCGAACAATGGGGTCCAAAACCATGAAGTTCACATGTTAGGGAGTAAGTTTGATGAAGGGGCCAAAGTCTAAAACCATTTGGAGCATCATGAAATCAAGAGGCAAAATCGGAACTGGAATGTGAAGCTATGCGGCCACATAGCTTCTGGAGAAATGCGGTCGTGAAGAGGGGTGCAGGGATTTGGAGCCGATTGAAGGACTAGTCTATGCGACCGCATAGATTAACTCTATGCGGCCGCATAGGGTTACTTTGGCATTTTTTTTAATTTTCTCGCGAATCTTTTAAATTGAAGAGGATTTCTTATTTTTGGTAATTTCCTTATGTTAGAAGTCTAGAATTCCGTTCTTAATTATTTTCTAGATTTTTTAAGTATAAATAGGATTTTATTCTTCAATTGTATGAAGACTTTTGATATTTGAATGAATGGAGATTTTCTCTAAAGGCTTCTGGCTTCAGAATTTATCGAACTTATCGGGATGATTTCTCGTGGAATTCAATCAAACAAAGTGAGATTCATAAATTGGGTAATCACGGGGTCAAGGTATTATCGTAATTGTCTTGGTTTCTGGTTCGATAGTTTGTTGAATTGAAGTTTAAATTTTGGATTTTGATTTATTAATTGTGTGATTAACAGGTCTACATGTCATATTGGATGTGTGGGTTGTTTAATCCATTATCTTGAGTCGAATTCAATAAACCTTTGTTTTTTGGAACTTTCCTGGGTTTGAATCAATTTCGTTGTTAGGTTCGTGAGTGTTCGTTGCTCACGGGTTTGCATTAAAAGGGATGGCCCATAGATATTCATATGAATTAGTTCTAGGACGTTCCCTTCAAAGGTTTTGTTGACACCTAATCTCCTTATGTTTGTTTTTTTTCCCTTAATACAATTTAGCAAATTCTTAAGTTTGAAAAATTAAGAGAATCAATAATTTCGTCTAATACAAGCTTTTTGATCCTCTTTCGAGAAATTTCACCTAAATGCTTGTGCCTTAATGGAGCAGAACTCTCATTGGTTAATTTACATTTAATACCTCATGAATTCACATGCAAGGTTCATTTACCAGGACATCCGGATTGACAGGGCCTGATTTAGGCAACATCTTCTGTCAAACCAAGCAAAGTGTCCAATAGTCCGTTGACTCGTCTGGATTTCGGACAATCCATTTCACTTGTCCGAATTTCCTTTTTTTTAAATAAAATGCAAAGATAATGCCATGTAGAAATAAATCCCATAGTATACAACCAACTTAGTTATGCACTTCGAATTTGTCAATAATGTCGAAGCCTCTTTTACTATGTGAGAATCGATCAAATGCAAGAGGTTTTGTGAAGATATAGACCAATTGATTTTGCATATTCACAAATTCTAATATAATATCTCCCTTTTGTGCATGGTCTCTAAGAAAGTGATGTCTAATTTAATATGTTTCGTTGGAGAGTGTAAAATGAGATTTGTGGACAAATTTATAGCACTGGCGTTATCACACATGATAGGTGTATGATCAAATGATAAGTGATAATTACTAAGGGTTTGTTTCATCCACAATACTTGTGCACAACAACTAGTGATGGAGATGTATTCGGCTTCAGCAATAGATAATGCAACGGAGTTTTGTTTCTTACTAAACCATGATACAAGTGCAAAGCCTAGAAAGTGACATGTTCCGCTAGTGCTTTTACGATCAATTGTGCAATGGCCCAATCGGCATCCGGATAACTAAGTAGATCAATGTGAGTGCCTTTTGGATACGAAAACCCTAAAGTTTTAGTGCCACTATAAGTAAGCTTGATGTATTTGGCATTCATTTTCCTCGATTTTACTATTTTCGAATTGCTCGACGTTATGAAGATTATACACTGCTTTGTGGTTGTCTTCATTTTCCTCGTCTACTACAGCTTAATATTTTATATTCGTAAATGTGCAGTATGCCAGGAAAGAACTCTGGAATATGTCATAGCTGTCAAGAGAAGGGTCACTTTTTTGCGGATTGCGCGAAAAAACGACAATGTCCCCAATGTAAAATTGGCTTTGTGAAGTGTTTTGAGGTCGAGAGGGAGACAAAGAACAACGGAAAATTGTTCAATTGCTGCAGTGCTAACTGTAAATATTGGGAATTGGCTGACGATGGAGAATCAAGTGATGCATCGAGTAACGTTATTGTGAACTCAAATAATCATGCAGCGGTCAAAGAAGTTCAACAATTCTCTCAGTTGTTCCAATCTTTTTGTCAGGTAGCCGAAGAAAAAATATTGGGATTTCATTGAAAGTGACAATACGCAAGGCCAACGGAAGTGCAGAAGTGGATAACAAAGGGAAAGGACCGACATGAGTAGTTGTTATGTTTAGTGTGTGTTCTGTTATGTTCAGTTGGTGAGTTGAAGAATGTTGGTGTTCATTTGGGTGACTATAGTGTATGCTGAGGATGTTGGTTTAAGGGTGGAATCTGTAATGTCCAGCCAATTTGTGTTCTGGACTTTAGTATTTGGGAAGAATCTATAATTGTCATTCACTGCTATCTCAGTAATGTTATTGTGATTGAAAAAATATTGTTGTTTCCAATTTCCCAACCTGCCTGTATTGATGGTAATTGAATACACTAGTAATTGATACAAGTTGAGCTACAAGTAATTGAATACACCAGTAATTGAATACACCTGCTTGTATTTCATAAACTAAATTGATACATAGAAACGAACATTACTAGTGTTACATTTATAAGGAAGGAGAGCTACAAGTTGCTTCTATTGTCACAGTTAACTAATGGTAAAACATGAAGCACTATCAACTAATGTCTGCAAACTATTACCATGAGAATATTACTGCATCAATTTTGTTCAACCAAAATCACATGTTTGCGTCACGTTGGTGAGATATATTTGGATAGTAGTACGGCATTGCATTCTCCACTGTGAAATAGAAATTTTATTTTGCAAACTAGAATATGACTCATACTTAAATTAATTATGTATGTTTAACCGCATACCTTGACCATTGAATATAAAACTCATTGAAGCCGATGGGAAGCTCATTGGAGACATTTCTTGTTGCGGTGCTACCTCATTGTTGCCATCACCCTGCACAATATCACAATGTGACTAAAACATGGAAATCAAATGCATTTATCAATCGAATTAAACGAACCATTAGAAGCCGTGTATATGAGATTAGTGCTGGCACGTGTTCCTTCACCACTTGATGATGTTCTTGTACGATCGGTTCAACGTCTCCCAGTTTACTTGGGCTTGCCTTCCGTTTCCTTCCTTTGGCTGGATGTGACTGCATAATCAACAAACAATAAACACACATAGTTCACTACAACCATAACAAAAAAATGGAAAACATACCTTCGCTTTACTGGATGATGATTCAAAAGGACTTTTATTCCGAAGATTCTTTAGCGCACATTTTCTCTTCGAGCATTTTGGATCTTGTATAGTTAAACTGCTACTATGTTGTGACGCTTCACCATCCGACGCTAACTGAAATGCATGCTGGGACACATTATTACTTCCACAACTTGACCTCCTCATCTTAAATGTGTCTTTTTTGGATTGTATCCACTCTAGTACCTCACAGGTTTGATGATCGTCATTTATAGCCATGTCCGTAAGTGAAGCAAATGATTGATACATCTTGTCATATCTCAACTAGGCAGGGGTGCTACTCAAACCATCGTAGTTCACTTTGACCTTGGTGTGGGATCTACTAATATCTCTTCTCCATCTTAGTAATATATAGGTGTCCGGCAATGCCGTGACGTTTTTCGTATAAGTACAGAGATAACATGTCTGCAAACTATTCCTCAAAACTCGAATAAGTGGGAACTGCAAACAATGTCACATTTCTATCTTTCAAATGTCACAAAAAACTTCTGTTTCTTAACTCGATCGTCAAGTATGATATCTTCCAACACCTCATAGGTTGTCCCCGAGAATCCCTCCGCTAAAGATATGAGATCACAATAAGCCTACCCAATGAATTCGTCCCGAACTTCCCGAAATTTTGAAATGGTGTACACTTGTTGAAACAGTTTCTCCAACTCGTACTTTGTTGCACATGGTACCATTTGGGAGTATGATTTAAAATCTTCTTCGATCTCTTTCTCTACATTAGTCCGCAATGCTCTCTCATATTGTTTGACAATTTATTTCAGCGACGTCTTCGAGTGCATATAATCATCGAAAAATGCATTGATACTCTCACTACGTTGAGTGGTTGACATTCCCGCCTAAAAGCTACTTTTTAAAAAGCAATGTATCCAACGGCCTCTATTCTCATGCATTCCCAACAACCAATCATTAGCATGTAAGGAATATTTGTCTACCATATCTATCTAGCCTTCTTTAAATACGTCAACAGTTTGAGAATCATATACCAGTACGTGTATAGCAGAAAAGATCTTGTCCTTATCGACGTGATATCAAAATTTCTTTGGCAACTTCTTCAATATGTGCCATAACCACCATTTGTGTTTCGTGTTTGGGAACATGATCTGAATTGCATTCTACATGGCCCTGTCTTGATCGGTAATAATCCCAATAGGAGCTTGGCCATGCATACACTGAAGCCAGGTTTTGAAAAGCCACACAAATGTTTCTGTATTTTCATTCGACACCAAACTACAACCAAGGAGTATTGATTGTCCATGATGATTGACTCCAACAAAAGGAGTAAACGGCATGTCGTACTTATTAGTTAGGTATGTGGTGTTAAATGTTACAACATCATCGAACTCCTTATATGCTTCCCTACTCCTATTATATGCCAAGAAAATATTTTTGTGCCGCAACTCATCGTCGAAATCTATACTAAAGAAAAAAACTAATCATCTTGCTTGCATGTTCGAAAAATATGCTTGCATTGTTGCGGCATCTCCTTCTCCAAGTTTTAATCGTCTCACTTGCTCAACGTAGTTTCGACAATCTTTTTCTATGCAAGTTATATTCTCAAACCCCCTGCTTCTACGACCGTAGAGTTGCAACTTTTGTGCAACGGAATACCTGCCATATCATTCACTTCAAGTCGTCTTTTAACATGGGCACTCAATTCTCGGTTGCAATGATATAACCTAGATTGTGAAGGACTTGTTTTATGATTTTGAATGAAATTCACTATGTTAATTTTACATATTCCACATGCATTTGCAGACGTAGTCATCCTGGCTTTGCAACCTGTTTGAATGGTAGCTTGCGGCTTTAAGGAACCAATTATAGTACTACTTCTTCGGCCTTCATGGCTACATGTAAGCACAACATATCTAATTACTCCATCATCATCATTTTGCGATTTTCTTTTCCTAACTGGAAATCCTACGTCATACGAATATTTCTTGTAAAAATCATACATTTCTTTTTCGTCGTTGAACTTCATTCCAACCTCGGGCACAATCACACCATCTAATCCTATAATTCCATCATCCACCAAGTTGACATTGTCCAAATTGTTGTCATTTTCGTCTTCTAATAGAATGATGTCATCAACCTCTTTCGATTTTTCGTTGCCTACAGTAAAAAAAACCAATTACAAGGTTACAACTAATTCACAAATCAAACATTGAATTGAAATCAGCATTCTTCTTTTCTTTTTTTTCAATTCAAATGCATGTGGTTGTTGTTTTTTTTTTTTTTTGGTTTAATTCCCTCTTTCCCCATACTTGTGAACAAGCTTAAAAGAATAGACAATAAATGTGTGATCTCAAAACATTTAAGCTATCCCCAAGGTTTGTATAGAGTAAGACAAATAATAGATTACAAAACTAATAAAAAGAACCAAAAAAATAAAAAGAAAAACACTACTATATCATGTATAAAAGAGCAAATAATTAACAGATTACTTAAATTTCTTTAAGAACTTCCTAAGTTGTTTGGCAAAAGAGTGAGGAATACAATTAAAATCTGAAATAAACTTTCTCTACCTTTGTCCGTCATTTATTCAAATCAATGAAGCTTGCAATTGCTTGAACCAGGAACAACAAGGTCTCTCATTGGTGAAACCTTCAAGCCGAAAACAATGAAGGCAACGAAACAATGAAGACGATGGCACCAGCTGCAAGTCGGAACTGCTCTTTCTCTGACCGGAGAAACCTTCAAACCGGAAACAACTACGTCTAAGTTGGGCGGTAGCTTTCCAAACTTGGGCGCATTTTGCTTCGCGGGCAATATACTGATTGTATTTGTAAAAGGTTTTGTTGCCTGACCCGTTATTGTATTTGTAAAACCCGGCCCCTATAATTCATATGCCAAGGTTTTTCTTGTTTTAAAAAATTTAAAATAGCCACATTTCCATGTCATCGTGTCATCCAGCAGGTAGAGGAAAAGGTACAAATAGCAATTTCCTATATAATAAAGGTTTGAAGTTTCTGGGTGTTTTAGTTTGCAAAGAGAAGTGCACCAATTAGGAAATTCCAAGTATATTCTCAGACATTCTATTTAGGGGTTATTTATACTAATTAGATATTTAAAAGCCCACTAAATTGATTTCACTTGGTGGTCGAACGTTCAATTTGATGCCTACTTGGTCAATTTAAATTATATAAAGTTCACTTAATAAGAAGAAAAATTGAATGTTTTCAAGAACTAGCCTAGGTTGAATTTATATAGCGATAACAAGTCTAAAGATTATAAGCATACAAGGATAAAACACACACACATTATATAATTTGTTTCACATGTAACTAAGTCCATGTTTGGCTCCTATTATTTGAAATTTTAATGGTTGGAATATTATTTTTTTGAAGAAAGTGTGATTAAAAAGAAGAAAAAGTTTTGGGATTACATGTAATATTATTTTATTGGAGAACGTGTGATTAATAAAACGAGAGAGAAATAAATTATAATTTTAGTGGAAGTCAAACAGGGATTAAATTATGTGCAAACTAAATTTAAATTTATTATGCACTTCGATTGTCGTGGGGTCTTAAGTACATTTCACTGCAAAACCTGAAAGGTCAATATTTGGTAAGCATCATGATTTAATATAATAATAATAATGTAAATGGACATATGGTTTATAAATTTTCAACCCACTAATATAAATTTCGTCTTAAAAATTAAAATTTATCATATTGATTTTGATACTGAATGTAACGCCGAGAAAACTTTATAAAACAAAATTTATCTGTCCTATGTGCTATATTTTATATTTTGAAAAGTTGAGGGCTTAAAGTGAAATAGGTTTTAATTCTTATATTTTGATAGAGTTGAAAATTTGGAATTAAGTAGTAGTCTTTGACACAAGAAAAAAGTTATTTACTTATTTTTGAATAAGAGCACATTAAGTTAGACCCAATTGAAAGGAAAATCGGAATTTTGAGCAGCTTAGAATGTTAACTTTGTAATATGACAGCCACGAGTTTTGATAATTTTGAATTAAATGTTAATCTCTTGGATTAGAATCACTACTAAAAAACAGCTTTTCACCTACGAAAAATTGGCATCCGTTGGTGATTAGAAACGGATTATCCATTGGTAAAAGTAATTCACTTTTAGCTATAATAATTAGAAACGGATTTTCCATTAGTAAAGATGATATCTCTTTACCAACCGATATTCCGTGCCTAATGTACTCGTTTAATATTTGGAACTTCCTCCAACGGATATTCAGTAGGTGATGTACCGAATATTACCAGAAACGGATTATCCGTTAGTAAAAATAACTCAATTTTAACTACAATAATCAGCAACGAATTTTTCGTTGGTAAAGATGATATCTCTTTACCAACGGATATTCCGTGCCTAATATAACCGTTTAACATTTTGATCTTTTACCTACGGATATTCCGTTGGTAATTAAAAACGGATTATTCATTAGTAAAAATGATATCTTTTTACCAACGGATATTTCGTTGGTAATGAGAAATGGATTATCCATTGGTAAAAATAATTCACTTATCCCACATCGGAAGTTTACAACAGTATCTTTGTAGTTGCCCTCTATAAATTTGTGGTCCAATAAGGAGTTAAACAATATTTTGGCCTTTCAATTCAGTTGGCTAAAAATAATTTTTTTTATAATAATAATAATAATAATAATAATAATAATAAATAAATAAATAAATAAATAAATAAATAAATAAATAACTTTTTTACCATACGGTTATTTACAACATTGATTTTTACCAATTGTAATGATAGACATTTACCAACGGAAAGTCGGTTGGTATTGGTTAAGACTTTTACCAACGAAAATTCCGTTGGTAAAAGATTCACACTTTACCAACCAAAAATCCGTTGGTAAAATGTTTACTCTTTACTTACGGTATGATCCGTTGGTAACTATCAGCGACCCTCAAATTATCAACGAATTTGTGGTTGCAAATATTCCGTTGGTGAAAATTATTAGCAACGAATATTGAGGATTTAGGAATGAAAAATCCGTGCCTGAAACTCTGGTTTTTAGTAGTGAAAGAAAAGGTCAAATTGTAATTCAATTCCAATTTAATTAGTAGATCTAAGGGTATACTAGTATTTTGCTTAGGCATCCTACTAACGATAATGCTAAATATTAAATATTTAATGTTAATCCTCTTGTATTACTACTGGTAGATTGAATTAGATTTCAAATAGGAGTAGGCAAAATGATCAAATTCAATCAGACCAAATAGAACCAAACTAAATTGAACGGTTCAGTTCGGTTCTACAAAAAAAATAAAAATAATGGTTCGGGTTCCTAGAACTGAGAACTATTTGGTTCTAGTTATGGTTCAGTTTTAGCTTTAAAACCAAGAACCAAGCTCAATATTTAAATTTTATTTTGTGTGTGTGTGTGTGTGTTACAAAATCGTGAATCACAGTTCACGCAAAAAAAATTAAAAATTCAATTAGAAATCGAGACAAAATGGTCATGTACCTTCGGCATCCCATTTTCTCAATGTGGTGACTGAAGATCTTAATTCATTTTGGGGACCCGACCATAATTCATCTCTCATTTACAATTTATACATCAACACTCACATGGAAACAAACAACTACCGCATGTAGTCTACTGTCGAGCTCAGCCGCCACCGTCGTATGAATTTCTGAATTAAATCAAGCAAACAGTCAGCAATTAGCACAATATAAATGTGGAACGGAGTCTTTGAATTAATTAAACATCAATAACATAAGATACTTTGTTCATCCTAACAGTTGCAAAATTACTCGCTCATAATGGTGAAAAGTATAAAGAAAATATTAAGCACATCACCCGGTTCAATTACAACTAAAAAACAAAATGAATCCAATCAATTGTTGATCTTCACCATACGGATCCCAACAATGAATCTTCAACCTCTTCCTTGAACATTCCACATCTCCTGACAAAACAATGTTCGTTCCCCTTCAAAATCCCTAAATCTTGCAAAGATCTTGAGGTCTTACGGATGAACTTATGTTTTTGCTTTCAAGATTGTCTCTCATAGTAATTGAAGAAGTTGATTTATAGTCTACCCTAATTAGGTAAGGAAAGCTAATTTGGACGTCATGTAAGCCCATGCAATGGCACTGTGAACTGTGGAGGGAGTTGCGATCGCATGGAAGGAAATGGTTGGTTTATGGATTCTATTTTGGAGCTCTAGCAATCACTTCCATTGCTGCCTTGTGATCACAAGGGCTCAACTATTTCCTCTTGTTCAATTTGATCCTCAATTTCATTTTCATGGTCAGCCCATGTCCTTCTTTATTACATTTTATGTCCTTTAACTTAAAGGTTAACACTTCAGACCCCAAATTCTAGAAATTCTCCTTTAATTCTAGTTACTCAATTGTTGTCTCTTTTCATCCCTCATCATCCAACACCGAATTTTCTCCTAAAAAATAAATAATCACACAAGATTAAGTATACAAAATATAATAACACTTCCAAATGCCCGAATTACACAAGAGGAAATAGTTGAAACCTTGCGATCTCAAGGTAACAAAGCAAGCGATTTCAAGAGCTTCAGAAAAGAACCCACAAGTTAGGCATTGCCTTCAATTTTTCTAGGTCAGCCCACATCCTTCTTTGTGTAGATCATTTAAATTTAAAGTTAATTCTTTAGTCTCCAAATTCCAGAATTTATCCTCCTTCAATCCTAATTTCTCAATTCATGTCTCTTTTCATCCTTCGGCAGCTAATACCAAATTCTCTCCTATAAATTTAGTAATTATACAAAATTAAGAATCTAAACTATAAAAACACTTCCAAATGCCTCCCTTGATGGCCTAGATAAGTGTAAAATTGCACTTATCATTGGCCCATTATTATTTGGAACTTGCTTCAAACCACCAATAGTACCGCAACATGGTTATCTTAAATAATCAATGTTACCATTAATCGAGTGCCGTGCACCTCTTAAAACTTCGAGACACTTTATCTGATATGATCTAGGGGAGTAGAAATTTCCAACAACTTGGCACATTTTGACAAGAGATCGAGGCCGTGATTTGAGCTAAGTTGGATGCCAATGGGAGTTGTTAATGCTGGCCAATCCATTGATCAAGCTAAGGAGTCCAAAATATGGGAATTAACATGCCAATGTCCAAGATTGATGTTGAGGCTGAAGGCCAAAGTCATGAGGAGCGAGTTGAATTCAAAGGTTGGAAGATTAGTCACGGCAGGTTACACAGTGTCCCAAACCATGCGACCGTGACTAGGGCTGGACAAAACTCCAGAACCGAACCGACCGAATCGAATCAAACCGAATCGAACCCAATGGTTCTTCCCAAATTAAATACCCGAACGGGTATTTAAATTGAGAACGGACAGGTATAGTTCGGTTTTCGATTCTAGACCAAGACCCAAAAAATCGAATAAGAATCGAATCTCCCTAATTTTTTTAATTAATTTATTTTAAATAAGTAAAGTTATTTTATTTCTTCTAAATAAATTTGTTAACTAGTTAATTTAGTTCAAACCAAAAAATATGATTTTTCTTATTTCTAATTTTCAATTCAAAGCCAACTTAGTCAAA